CATCTGCAGCTTAATTTCACAGCTCACCAGTACTAAAGATTGAATTTAGCAGGCCAGATGTGCTGATTTATTGAAATAGATAGTCAGAGCTGAATCCAGTGTTTCCATGATTTCTCATGTGCTCTTCTTTTATGCATTATTAAGATACATGCACACATGATGAAGAGATAGTTGTTGTTTTTTATCTATCTATCTATCTATCTATCTAGAGAGAGAGAGAGAGAGAGAGAGAAAAGAAGACAGGTAAAGAGGCAAAACATGATTCAGGTGAGTTGTCAATAATTGAGATGAGCCACTTTGACTAAAGTGTGGAGAATGAGCTCAGATCAGAGACAGTCAGAAGGGCTTCACGATGTACTCTATCTCCCTCTTTAACCAGAATCCTTCAGGGAATAGCTGTTGATAGATTAGCTGACAGCAGCCCAGTGCTTAGGCAGCAAAGAATCTGAGCCTCTTCCTTTCCTCTACAGTAGCAGAGTAAGGGATCATATCTGATTCAGTTTAATGTACTGTATAATGTAGTCTTGTTTATACACATCCTTGTGGTTTCATCTAGACTTAGAAAATGTGTGACACGCTACTAATTCTGTTGTAATTCAAAAAAGGAAGAGGCATTATGCAGACAATATGATGTGAAGCATATCTCTGTGTGCCCTGAAGTGCAATTTTAAATGCGAGCTCTGTGAATTCCCTCCTAAATTCAGCTCCTGAAGGGAATCACCGCTTAAGAGAGTACACTGCTCAAGATGCCAATACTTTTACCTTAATATATGTCACTCCTTCTTGGTTAAAAAAAGGGGGAAAAAAAAATGTTTTTACCAATACAATCCAATACAAAAACTTTATTTGTCCCCAAAGAGAAATTCATCATTACTTATTATCAGGTGACAAAATTACTTGTATTTTCTGTGTAAAATCTATTCTGTAATTTTAGTGCTGGGTATCTAGAGACTCATTTTGTCAAATTAAGAGGAAGAAGAAGGGTGGGGGAACCTCCAACACTGTATTGCGCCACCATATTACCACCATGAGTTATCCCGACGTGGGTAACTTCCCCTTTCAGGTAATCCCATACCTTCACCATCTTGTCGTCTCTACCTGTTGGGAAAAGGTGAAAAATATCTATGAGTGACTGGGGAGGAGTCGGAGGTGAGGATGCATTGCAATGTTAGCAGAGGATTTAAAAGAGAGGCTCTGGATAGATTAAAACAACAACGTAGCAAAAATCTGGAGCAATATTTGGGAAAAAAAGCCCATCTTTGATCAGTACATGAGTAAGCAAGCTATAATCTAAGTCAAGTGTAAAATAAAAGCAGCAAAGCAACAACATAACAAGCACCAGGTGTGTCTAATGGACCCTACAAAGTGTCACCCATCCTGTGAAATACGCATTGTATTGATGGCCCCAGACTGAGAGGCCTCCCGTTCTCTGATGGCAGAACCGTCAAACACTTCCCAATAGGCAATCTGAGGAATAGATGAACACACAGACGGTAGCTATTAACAGCCATCATGTAGTTGCAGTCATTTATCACAAGTATTTGTCAACACAGAAATTATTCATGGCGGATACAAACCACTGACTGTCGAAAAAATGGACAACGCATCTCCACCTGCTGCTCTTGCATAAAAGCGAAGCCAAAACATCATGCGCAACAGCTGCTAGCATATTGCTCCAGCCCTGTCATTTGGAGTCAGAGTCACAGTTTAATGGCCTTTTGTCATTCCTTATTCAGTTAATCCAGAGATACTGCTCCACAAGAACTGGATTAGTCAACAAAATTTTTCATGATGACACTAGACCAAATCTTATAGCAGCAAATAACTAATTACTATACAGCAAGGAGAAATGGAGACCAGGGTTCCAATCAGAGTGGTATGAGTTAACTATCATGGCCATAGACTGTATATACTATGGACAACTTGGTTCCACCTTCCGCAAGTACCCAGATTTAAAGCTGAAAAGCTCAGTAATTCTGTGTTTTTTATCCATTTCCTGAAACCAACATTGCGCAGTAGCTTTGTGCGCATTCAGCCGGAGAGTCGCTGAGATTCGCTGTGATGACGCTCGGCTCAAACAGCGTATTCCCCGGGTGAGCTACGCAATCTTCATATGCCCATAGGCTGTATCAAGTGTCAATCATAGAAAACATAAACCCCTAATAATTTAAAAATTGAGCTGTACAGAAAAAAAGAGTCAACCCAGTCTTACAGTAAATACGTCAGCAGGTGGGAGAAAATTTTATATTCTGTGTTATTAATTTCTGAAGTTTGTCTACATCTCCATAAGGATTGCTGGAGGAGGCGGGATTTATGACCTATACTGCAGCCCATCACCAGAGGGTGCTGTTATCACTGTGGCTTCACCCAGCGAGGAGGTAGACGGCGTCCATTCTGTATAGTATAGTCTATGATCACGGCAGGCACCATGTTTAAGAAAGGCATGCTGTATTCTGAATGATTTGTGATTTTATACTTTGACCCATGTCTCATCAGTCAACATGGAGGAGACAGGTTCTAAACACTAAGAACTGGAGTCTTCTTTTGTTACTTAGTGCAGATAAGGGAAAATGTCATAGATTACCAACAACTTTTTGATCCAATTTATAAAGTTTGATCATTATGGAACTGTGATTAATGATTGATGAAATTATTAGGGGCAGCCAATTGGCTTACAGATACTATCATCTCTACATTGCTTTGCTGTTGTTCTACGTTGACATCATAAACCCAATTATTTCCTATTTTAGTAAAAAGTGACCTCAATCTACCCCCTCTGCTTTGTCAGTGGTACTCTGTGTGGAAATCAGTTCGTCTGTGGTTAGATTTTATCAGCCTCTCCCTCACACACACCTATGTTTGCTGATCCAAATGAGATTTAATCATCCCCAGAGCTTTATGGCTGTCAAAGTATTGAGTCTCACAAAAGGCAATTGTAAGCTGAGGTTATTTATAGTGCAGCCAGCTGAAATATCACAGAGCTTGAACACCAACAACTGTGCTTTCTTGTTATTTACATGACTAACATGATTGTAACTTGAAAGTTTTGTGCAGTACAGAGAAAGCCAGATGGATTTGATCATTATAACGTTTGTTTGTGAAATTCTGTGATTGAGTTTCCCACTCTGGCACCGATCTCAGTCCACGTGTGGGTTAAAAAGTCCAATAAGTATTTGACAATGGAAAAACACGGGTCAGACATATCAAAATTCAAGGACATCAAGTGTTATAGGAACTGCTCATCAGCTTAAAGACATTTCCTCTATATACTCTAACTGCAATGCAGCACTGCTTTACTGAATTACATGAAATCCTATGCAGCATTACAAAGGATTGATATTTGTCAAAAGGAAGTTCATGTTACACAAGGCTGAGGAGAATAATCGTGTATAAGAATAGCCTCGGAAACTGGTTTTCATTCCGCGGCACAAAACACATTACAAGAGGGGAGGTGTAATCTAACACAGATGCGTCAAATGCTGTTATTATGTCATGAACAAAAGGTTCAGTAAAAGATAAGGATTTGTATTTAAAGTTTCTGAGCTGCAAAGTAATTCTCGCTGGCCCTTACAAGCAGAATGAACATTTCCCAGGGGGGATGTTTGTAACTGCAGTGCATCTGAAACAGACTGGCTTATTAAGATGGATTTGCTTGCTGATATTGTTTCGACAAAACCAGCTTTGCCAAACACAATTTAGAAAACGCAGCTACAACCAGAGGCAGGAAATTATTCATTATAAACACCAGAAACAAAGTTCTGAAATCCTTTCTTAGAATCCATCTGAGAGGTTTACAGTGGGAAAAAAAACACATGCAAATTTATCCTGCTCAGCCGTGTTTCAGATATGCTAATCAACATAAAAGTACAAGCTGTAGCAACAGGAAACAGTTCTGCTGCAGAGACAGAGAGAAGTTACGTTTATGTGCAAAATTCTGTTAACCCCAAAGTTACTGCAATATTCTTCTTCTTTTGCTTTTTTTGCAGGGGTCACAACCTCTCCCCCCTGCTGTATCTCATTTCTGCAGCTTATTAGAGACTCCCACCTGTGTGAGTTGTCCAGAACCATCTGTGATCCCTGAACCCCAGCCTTGGTTACTGGCCCAGCGCCACAACATGGGCCACCAGGAAATTAATTACAGCAGCAAGCAAGACTGAGTCCACCATGTCCAGCCTACTGTTGGAACTAGTCAATCTTCTGCACAGGTAAGACGTGAGTCCAAAAGTACAGAGCATTCGCCAAGGCTGCAGCAAATATTAGCACCAAAAACACAACCGAAACATGCTGCTCATTTTATATGGTAACATCTTTTGTTTCTTCTTGTCAGACAGTTTATTGATGCTAAATTTCTATAAAAAAAAATAAAGACAGCTATGTTTTAAGCTCATATTGCAAAGAGCACTTCCTAATAATGTAAACCACGGAAATCAAAGATTGTATTTGCCTTAACAAGGCAAAGGCATTTTTCCATTCTATTAACAGACAGAATTTTTAAATAATGGGGAAAAATCAGCATTTTTTTTTTTTTTTTACAAATAAATGTCTGTTTCTTTCTTTGGTAACACTGTACTTGACGCCTTTCTCTATAACGCATTAGAAATATATGTATAATGCGTTATAATCATGCCAAAGCACTATATAACTATAGTTATAAACACTCATAAATGATCAAAATGCTTTATAGCAATAATCATAACACATTATAAAGCATTTTATCATGACTTACAAGGTCAGGTATTATAATGTGTTATAACTGTTGACAACTCACTGACAATACCCACATAGATAATGCATTAGACATATATTTATGTGTTATAATTTGCTTAAATTGAATAACTATCATTATCATAAAGTTTTATAACAATAAGCGTAACACATTATAATACCTGACCTTGTAAGTCATAATAAAATGCTTTATAATGTGTTGTGATTATTGCTATAAAGCATTATGATCATCTATGAGTGTTCATAACTATAGTTCAAACAGTGCTATAACGTGATTATAACACATTATACATATATTTATAATGCGTTATAGAGATAGGCGTCAAGTAAAGTGATACCCGTTCTTTCCCTCCACTCCTTTTCTCAGTTGGTTCTCTCGCTTTACTCACAGAGGCACACTGGGATGTGATTAAGGGTGGGGTATAGGAGGGGAAAGAGAGAGCAGAGTGTTGGTATTTGTCCTCCCAGACAGAGCGCCTGTGTCCTGGGATGAGCAGATGGTGGATCTGGCTGGCACTTGGGTGGCATAGGCACATCCGCAGGAAGGCACGAACACCACAGCACTCTCCCTTTTTTTCCCCTGAATTCTTTCTCTTTTTCGCTCTCGTCTCGCTCAGCACATCCATAGCGCTCTGTTAATCAGCACAACTTGTTCCTACTTCTCAGCATGCGCGGGAGGTGACAGTATGAGTCCAGTGTGTGGCCGGGGTTCAAGAGGTGTGCATGAAGAGCACAATCAAGCAAACAACCGTTTCATTCTGCAGCTGTGAACTTCTGACCTTATGTAAATAAGTCAAACCAACAATCAAAATTACCCACTACATAACAGACTCACTGGGCTGAATGTTTATGCCATTACAGCCTCCACAGTGCTTCTATTATGTTGAGTGGAGGAACAAATTGCAGGACTTTCAACAAAACTTTGGAGTGTGCATTCAATCTGCAAGCGTTCACTGTATTACTGCATGCTGATCTCATGCACACCGAGGGAGGATTATAATAACAATAACAGCATAATGAGACATCTAGATTGTGTTAAGAGTAAAGTGCTGATCTCTTAACAGCCTGAGGAATTGGGCTTTAAAATTCTGAGTCCCAAGAATTGCTTAGTGAACCAATATGTCCTGTTATGGATAAATTGGTCGATATCCAAGATTACAGTAATAAGATAGCAGGAGAAAAAATAAGAAAAGCTTTACCCAGCTGTGTTCAATACTTAAAATTTGTTGATTAAAATCCAACAACAACAGGGATTAATTAACAAAAGTAAAAGCAAACCCAGGGACAACCTAATCACACATGTCATCAACATCAGCCTGGACCCCACCCCATTTTCTGATTCATAACGTAACGCACCACTACTCAAAGCCATGCACAACTACTAAGATAAGATATGATTAGATCAGATAAGATAAGAAAAGAAGAACTTTATTGATCCTGAAGGGAAAGATAAAAGAAGATAAATAAATAGAAGATAAATATAATGTGATTTATCAACCCTCCGTATACAGGCTGTGGGGCGATTTGCACAAGAGTATTTGTTTGTTTGTTTATTTGTTTGTTTTTTCAAACAGGCTGCTTCTTATTAATTCGCTCCAGGCAAGAAGATGGATATAAACGATTAAATTTGTCCCATCTCTCATGAACTGACTCAACAACAAATTGTCCTTTCCATCCAGCTGTCCATACACTACATGGGAGCAGAACAGACAGATAGTGCTGTCAGGATAAAAGCTCATGGAGTGCAGCTCTGAGCAGCTGAGAGCAGAGATGATGACAGTTATCAGTGACCTCAGTCACGATTAAACAAAAAGCTGGTCTGAACTGCATATTTGAGTGGCTGCAGTTTGCAGACCGGTCTTCATTTAATAATTTACAGTGAATAAATAAATGGTTTTTAAATCAGTAAGATCATATTTAAGCAAGATGCCTCCACTTCACATCCAGGTCTTGAATTCCCATAATTAACTTCTCAGTTAATTATTCTGCAGTATCCTTTACTTATTATCTAGTATCTGGTTTGAGGTTGCTGGGTTCTGACAACATACCTTTCAGTTGGTGCCACTGGTGATGATCTGGTAATCCTCTGGATGGTAGCACACAGTCCGAAATATGGCATTGAAGGTGACCATATTGAGAATGGTACAGTCTCCGCCTTCAGCAGAAGATGCAGAAGAAAAAATGTGGAGAGAGAGTGACTTTCACAAGTAAAGCAATAAATAACTGCATGCGGTAAAAGTCTTTATGAAATACCAGTGACTGTTAAATGTGATAATATGTTTAGTTTTTTCAGTCAAGGGAATAAACACAAGCCAATCTGTTTAATTGCAATTTAACAGACTGTCAGTCTACATTCATTAACACTTTTCTGTTAGATATACTTTAACATCTGGCTGTGAGTAATAATAGAGAAGCTGTAAATCCATATTATACTTGATGAATACAGTCAGGAAGTCATTAACCCACAGGCTTCTCCACTGAAAAAGGAAGGATGGAAAAAAGGATGGTCACCATAATAGTTTTTTCAGGTTTTACTCTCATCAATGAAGAAGGCAGTGGATTAAAGGATTTAAGCTTTCGCCATACAGACTTCACTGGATTTCCTATTAATTTTTCTGTACCAGTCATACACCAATGAAAGGTTTGAGCTTTTCTTATTTTCTTTCTAGGAGTTATGTACATCAAAATATGCTGTTAATTATTATCATAGTTTTAACATCTGACTCAGGATTTCGAGAAGTATTTTTTCACTGCAACCATAAACCACTGGGAAGTCGCTAAAAGAGGGTTTTATGTGTTGTGCTGAAAAGACACACACTCTTTGCCATAGGTCTGGGCGATAAACTGAAAATTTACAGATACCGAAATTTATGTCAGTAACCCACGTCATTTTGACCATGTCAATATAGTCGGTGTCAAAAAAGTAAATAAATAAAAGTTGGTTTTGTATGTGAGTAGGTAGGCTATGGTCTCATGTTCCTTTAAGATGCTGTCCTACATTGGAGACATGACTCCACCCCATCCAGTCCGTAACAAAGTGGGAAAGACAGGTGAGGAGATGGAGGACGGTTCAAAAGTTGTTGCAGCTGAAGTAGACAAAGTTAATGTAAACGAGGGTGAGCAGCTTGTGGAGTAGTTATTGAGGGGAACTGCTCAATATATCGTGATATTGATTTGGCCATATCGCCCAGGCCTACTTTGTCATCACTCTTAAATGTGATGCAGTTGACAGTGGATTTGTGCATTTTCATGGACTCAAGAAGCTTATGGCCATGTGGCAGGAGCTCCTAAACACGCACCTCCAACAGATGAACCCAAAAGAAACTTTAAAATATCTGTTTGGCATCAACAGGATAGGACAGTGAGTACATTGTATAACCCCTAAATGGATACCACACATAGAAAATGCATGTTACTATTTACATTCAGAATTGATTCTGTTTTTTGGTCCATTTAATTCTGTTCTGGAGAAATAGATAACAGCCACTAGATTTCTAAAATGTCATAATTTCATGATGCTTGTGCAGGATTTCACTTTGTTGCTTTGAGCTGTCATTTGGTGAGTTTGTAAGGCATCATCTAACTTTCATCACTGTTACCTGCTGACCTGCCCCTCTCCTCCTCCTCCTCTGCTGACAATCCTCTTGCAGTCCCTGGCGCCTGCGATTGCTGTTACACCCATCCTGTGTGCGTCGTGAATGATAATCAGGAGCCTTTCACTTTGGGGGAACAAACACACGAATCTTACCATCCCTCTATGCTAAAAGACAGAGGCAAATAAATCACACATCAGTAAGATTAATTTAATTCAGTGTGTGAAATAGTTACAAGTTCCTCCACACAAGAACCAACACACTGGCTGTGTGAAATTATGAACAGCCCAAACAATGGGCACAGTGATTATATCAGATTAGATGAAAATAGATTTAGCTTCATGGCCATTGCATAAGAACAAGTTCTGGATAACAAAGTACAGTTAAGTGTATAACCAGAAGTGCAAACAAGCTTTGCGGTGCTGAAAAAGGGAAAGCAAGGACAGGAAGAAAATGAGGATTCAATGATGCAATCAGCCTTGAATAACAAGAAATGTCATGTTAGCTGTTATTTCCCCCCCGATTCTTACCACTGATGATGCTTTATCTGTCAATCATAACATCCACACACACAGTTGCAGGTCATGTTGGGTAGAGTGATATGCAGCAGCAGCTCCTTAGGCTTGTTTATAGGCCACAATTTCATGTCTTCTGAAGAGTATCTTACAAATAAATCAGATATTCCACTAGAGAGGAAAAAAAGAGAGAGGGAATTTGTGATTTGTGGTTATAACTAGCTTCAAGTTCACAAAATTGCATTGCATGGATCAATACATCACCCCAGGATTTGTTTAAATATCTAAAACCAGTGTAGGTATGAGAAGCACATAAAGAGGAGTAGTGTATATGTTGCCCTCTAGTGAGAGTAATGAAGTACTGAATTCTGGCATTAAAACAGAAACATGGGATTAAAGCTGTTGACAGAGAAAGAACAGTGAATGCTTGTAATGTCCAGCTACTCCCTGAAAATCACTAAAATACACCTCACTCATGATCATGTTTTTTCTTCAATAGCATCTTTCCAAATTCAATTTTCTATGTTATACTTTAGCATAACAGAAATTTTTAACTCAATTTCTTGTCACATCCTAAAGCTGAGAAAAGTCTGCCAAGCGAAAATTTACCTTTAAAGCCGAGAACAGCTTCCTACTCAAGTTGAGACACGCCGTCTTTCAAGAGCCGTAGTGGGATAACTGGAGCATTTTTTGAAATCCTAATTTTTTTTTTCTTTTTAACAACACTTAAAAAGATGTCTTAAAACATGTTTTATTGAGTAAGCATTTCTCCACCGGGTGATTTTCCCCTGACCAAACAAGGTGATTTTCATGATGTTGTGTTTGTCTGTGTATCATGGGTCCCTGGGTAGGTTTAGCATTGCCAGTATGGTGCCCGAGAACCGCCACTGCTGCAAATAAAAAAAAAAAAAGCAAAAAAAAAAAAGAAGTCATAACAGAAGTTACTGTTGCAAAAAAAAGGAGCCGAAGCCTGCTGCAAATAAAAAGCCACATCAGAAGTTAACGACTTTTTTTTAATGGGGAACAAGCAGAGTTACTTTTAGCGAAAATAAAAGGATGCACATAAAAAAAGCCACAACAGAAGTGAGCTGCCGAGGACCAATAATGATGATGCACCGGTGTTTTACAATCTAGGCACAGGAGATGACGGCGAGAATTTCACTTGGTTAACTTTTTAATGTGTTATTTAAGTCGATATGAAGTTGAACTGGATGCTGGTGTAGTGATGGCTTCAGTTCAACTTCATATCAACTCAGGCGCTACATGGTCTAACCAAATGACACATTAAAAAGTTTACGAAGTAAAAATTCAACAATAATCTCTCCACTTACTTCTTTGCTCGTCTTCTCGCCGTCGTCTTCTGTGGCTAGATCGTAAAACAACGGTGCATCATCAGTATTGGTCCCTGGCAGCTCACTTCCGTTGTGGCTTTTTTTATGTGCATCCTTTTATTTTCGCTAAAAGTAACTCTTCTGTTTCACTATCAAAAAAAAGTTGTTATCCTTTATTTTTGCAACA